TACTTGTAATGTGTGAATTGTTGATGTTGGTCTGATATCTGTGCAGGTTTTTGTGTGCCACACATTGAATGGACAGTCAATAGGAGCCTTTCTCTGCATCAAGTGTACAAGCCCAAGAAAGTTGAAACCAAGAACTAGAAGACCCCAAAGTTGTCCAGAAGCAATAAGTAAGTGCGTATAAGGATTTGAAGAAAAGACATGCAGTAAGGGAACTGTTTGGACCAGACCGTGACAGCTGTTTGCATCCTTTGTAATTGTTTTCTTCATTTTTATGTGTAATAGGCTTTTTTGTTAGTTTTTCTTAATTTCATTGTAAAAGGCCATTCAAAGTCCAAGTGTCTGAAGAGTTCTTGGTGCTCTTTCAACTCTTGGCAAAACTTTTCTTGTTTGTGTTTAAATTTTAGGTCTTACGTTTAGGGTGATTTAGGCTAAAAGCGATTAAACTCTAAGCTTTGTCACATTAGAGTCCGAAAAGTCTCGTCTTTTAGTGTTTAATGTTGATTGTTTGTGAGTTGTGTTCTTTGATTTTAAGTGATTTTAGTTTAAAGGATACTAGTAGTAACCTAAGACATTTCTGGCAAGGTAAGACTGGTACTTAAGCAGTCTTCATGACTCACCTCTCTTACCTGGGGACTGTCTAAGTGTGAATCTTGTAAATCTTTTACACTTGAAAAACTTTTAGAAAACAAAGATGTCTTGTTATTCATATAGGTCCTTCTAGGAATTTTAATTTTGATAAGCAACTTAGTTACAAAGGCATCAAAGAACATGATAACTAGAAGGAAGTCTTGTTTCATCTTATGAATTTGATAGGATTGAAGATATTTGTATAAACAAGCTAGTGAAAATATTCCATTCTTTGGTGTATGATATTGGTGCATAACATACCTACTTGGGAAAAGGAAATTAATGACATGCATTCATTCATGGTTGAGAAAAAGTAAATAGGAATCCTTCTATTCTAGAGATAATGAATCTTATATTCTTAATCTTTACACTTCTAGTTTTAAAAAGCATGCAAGAGAGTGGTGGGATGATAGGCAATACCATGTTACGATGGGTAGAAAATATCCCATTCATGATTGGAATGAATTGAAGCTGTATGAAAGAAAGTTTGTGCCTCGAGAAATTGAAAGAAACTTAGAACTTATGAGAGAGCTTATTAGAGAAGGTGAGTCATTCATTCAAAATTTAAGTGGGTTCTTCCGTAGGGAAAGTGAGTTTCTAGAAAACTTAGGAGGCTATGGGAAGACAAGCAAACATAGAATTGAGAGATTAAAAGAGAAAAACAAAAGCAAGAAGTAAGAGAAAAAGAGAAATAGAGAAAAAAGAGAAAGAAGAGGAAGAACAAAATAAAGAAAAGAAGAAAGAGCCTGAACGCGGGCGAGAGCGCTGGGTGGCGAGAGAGGGAGAGCACTTAGGAAGTTTGCGCTAGATGGAGAACTCAAAGCAACTAAGGCAACATCTCCTCCTACATTCGAAGTTAAACTCTTAGGGTAGGTTTTTATCCTCTCACTTTTCTTCCATTTCTATTTGAATTTTCCAAATTTCACTTTTCTTTCAAAGAATTGGGCCACTCCATCTTACAAAATATTATCACTTTCAACACATGCAAAGTTCCAACTTGGGTTATGGTTACCTTTATGGTTACCAATAACTCAAGCTAAAAAAATTTCAAATGAAGAAAGGTTTCTTTGTTATTAAAATTAAAAATTTCAAAAATTTGGAAACCTTCTTCTACACATATTCTTTTTACTATATCTTATTGGGTCAAGAAAACTAATTAGAGATATGTTTTGCTTATTGCAGATGGATATTGACCCAGGAGGACCCTTATGAAGCTAACAAAATAGTCTTCAAAAGCACCATCAGATTTGAGGACAAATCCTTTCCAGGGGGATGGGATGATACGCGGGGACCAAGGCTAATTAGCTTAGTGTAGTATTTCTTTTTTTACTTTTATTAAGCATGTGTAAAAGTGTAGGCATGTGCTGGATAGGAGGGACTTTTAGTCCTATATATAGACATGCCACCACCTCTGTAACACCACTTTGAGAATAATGAATAACTTTCTGTAGAGAGAACTCCAGAAATTAATTCCCTTGAAGTCAAAGCTAGAGAATCCCAAAGGATCTCCTCTAGCCACCTTCCATTCACACTCATTTCATTTTCCATTTACACCCAGAACTCTCTTACCTCCACGTAACCATTGGTTTCTCCATTCTGCACCAGCCGCGATTGACTACTCCATCGCTGCCACGCGAGCTTATTCCTTCGCGAGTTTCCATCAGCACAACACTGCATCTTCATTTCGCGATCTTCATCTACTTCACTCTCGAGAGAGAGCTCTTCCACCACGAACCACATTGTCATCGTAGAACCTCACCTTTCTCGCCGATTAAAATCCACCTCTCCACCATTCAAATCTGTTTCCGTTTCAAACTAGGTTTTCAACCGAACAAACCTCGAATCTATGGTTTTTTTCCTCGCTGTTCATCTTCGACTCCAAATCCCAGGGTTCTTGAACAAATCTGTTTTCTTCCGCTGTTTCCCGGATCTTCATCTTGATCGAATCCAGATTTCACGCCGTCTTCCGATTTAGCCAAGCCGTCAGCTACACCATGTAGCAGCATGTGATACATGAAAAGGATGACATGGTAGAAGTAGAGGATGATCATTTAACAAAGCTCATGGCAAAATTACCTAGATTGTCTAAAAGACCAGTAGAATTGTACTAGGATTTAAGAGTATTTAGCCTCTAGTGTCATGTGCTAGTATATATCAATTTAAATGATGCACTAGAGATCATTAGGGGTGACAAGATGTTGATTTCAATTCTCAATTATGGTGCATGTAAGATATCTCATTGTCTTCCATACGAATTATATTTAGATTGTTAGTTTTTAACAACTTAAATTTCTTATTATAGGTAAACGGACACAGTCATTGTGGACCAAGGTTGGTCTTCGATGTACGAGTTTGTTGAACCTCATATGATTCAACCTTCTGGTACATACTTGAGAGCAAACAAAATTATTTGCAAACATGGATGACTGAATTAAAAAGAGATATACCTTGCGACATACATTGATGTGTCACTAGTGCAGTTTGGGGAAACGACAGCGTGCACACGAATTCATGCCATTAATGTATTCCCATCTTTCGTTCTCCTCTCATCTTCTTTCATCCATTCTTTTTTTCTTCTTCTCTCTTCTCTCTCTCTCCTTTCCTATCTAACTGCTCCATCTTAGGCCTAGGTTTTGTACTGACCGAGGCATAAACCTCTTTCGACACCGGTTCTGTATAGAACCGAAGCACAAGATCACGTGTCAGGCCAAACCAGTTTTACAGAGGCCAGGTGACTTTTTCAGAGACTATTAGCACCGGTTATGATTTGAACCGAGGTAAAATGCTCTATATGCTTTGGATATTTTTTAAACTGGTGCATATAAGTTTGTGAAAACTACAAGCTTGCCACCGCTTTCGGATAGGCTTCGGTTTTTCTTTGACCGAAACCTATTAGGCGAGTTCAAAAGCATATCTTTTACTAGTGTGTATGTGTTACGAAATGTAAATAGGTCTCATTGGAAATTGATGGTTATCATTCCAAGACAATGTAAAATTCTATAGTTTTGTTCCTTACACAGGGGATGAAAAATGGAATTGAAATTCATGCTACAGCGTAAGTGTTTCTCTTTTAATGTTTCAAATTTACAAATCTATGTTGAAATGGTCTTTTTATGATGAATATATTATAATTATTAGAATCTTCTTGTTTTCAATGTAAATAGAGTTATGGGTAAACTTAGAGGTTAGCTAGTTCAAATCCCGTGTCCAAAAGTTATAACTCATTTATAGTTCTTATTCCTTTTCTATGTTATTGTATGATTTACATGTGTGACTATTTAGTTTGTCATTTTAGTGTAACTAGCAGCTACATTTATGGGAACGTGACTACTAAGTTATGTCTTGGATTGAGGTAATTATACTTACCTTCCATACATTACAAATCAAATTGACCTTTGAACATTTGTAAAAACATAATGAATTTGACTAATTTGCAATGCTTCAAAAAAATAAACCTATATCAGAGACACAATTAAGAAGATATACAACAGAGTGAGCAGCTTAATCCTGCCGAGAGATAGACTTAGGACCCATCGTCATCCCTTAGGAACATTTTATTGTTGCTGAATATAAAAACTAACTTACTTTTGTAATTAAGTTTTGGATTGCTTTTTAGATTGTTTAGTATTATAATGACTTGAAACGCATAATATATATAATTTTGTGATGTTTTTGGAAACTTTTTCTGTATTTCAGGTGTGGTTTTATTGTAAAAACAAATTTATTTAAGAAAAAAAACTAAGTGAGACATCGATTAGTGTCAAAACTGCGTCTAAATGCTTCCGTGGCTCACCCTAGGCTTTTCTTGCTATAGGTAGAGGCGCGCTTAGCACAACTCACGTCCGTTTACAGGGGGCTCTAACGTCATTTCGACGTCAATTCATGTCAATGAGGAATTTAACGTCAAATTAACGTCTTTCAATATGACGTTAGAGCTAGGTTGGACATTGAATGTCTAAATAACAAACGTTTAAAGTCCTTTTTGCAGTGGTGGATGATTATGAAGTAGATGAGAGAAAAAAAGAAAGAAAAAAAAAAGATGAGGTGGAAGCTTTACTATAAGTTACACACATCTTAACAAGTGACAACAAATCTGAAAAAAATTCAGTAACCATTAATTTTGATTAATTTTTGAGCGTAAGTAATATGTCAATAAATTCAAATTAGTGACAGAATTTTTATTATTAACAACAAACTAAACTCATCATTAATATGTAATTTTTATATAGTGTGAATATCTTTGAAAATCTCTTAATCATCTATAAACATAAATATCCATTTTATTATCGCCTAGTGTATGTATGTATAGGGTTTAGTTAGAAATAAATTCTTAATGTAGATTATAGTTTGAATGGGTAGTTAAAGCTATTTACCTGAATAACAATTAAGACTGAAGCAGTAAAGGTAGCAGTTGATAGGATACATCCTCCTAGTAGCCATTGTGATTGTTGAGATGAGAGAAATAAGTTGTGTCGCATCACATGAGTTGTTATAGGCAAACCTTTGTATAAAGTCACCGTTAATGCCCCTGCAATTGAGACCACAGTCCCAATGGTTTTTGCTTGACTGCTTCTTAGTTTTAGGTCCAGCTTTTCCATCCTAAATCCATCAATAGGTTCAACTCTAATTACTTCATATAAATATCCAAAACATCTGATTGACCTAGCATTTTCAGGAAGTAATTCTTCTTCTAACATCTTTAATGGTTTTCCTCTTGTTTCGAACTTTCCTTCAGATTTTTTTCATCCTTTTCTATTTCGTGGAAAAGATAATTAATCACATAGGTTGCCCTCATTCTAAGTTTAAAGGTCCCTCAAATATATACACTTTATTATTTCGTAAAAGAATTATTAGTTACAGTTTATCTTTATTAATTTGGTATTATAGTTTAAAATTTATATAATTATATAATTTCTTTATTATTATTTAATGTTAAAGAAAAATATATATTACTTTTATATTAAATTATTAATAATATTTTATTTTTGTTTTATTAATTAATTTTTGTAAAACATATTATGGCGTGGTTGAGATAAGAATGAAATATAAATTTTACATCTATTAAACAAAAAAAGACAAAAAAACGACCAACTCGTCCAACTTATATGAAATTTAAACTTTAAAAGAATAAATGTTTTTATGTCTCTCAAAAAATTTTTAAATATTTTTTAGATATTTGATTTTGAATTTTTATTTTTAAATAAGGTTTTTACTTTCGATTGACCCTAGTTTATGTGCTTTTATTACCTTTATAGCCATATGAATTTATTTTC